AGAGCGCGTTTGTTAGCCATGTCAGGACAAGACTATGCCTCTAATCAACCCATAATCCTACGTTTGTTTCCCAAGATTCCGGCCCGGATGATTAAATAAGGCCCGCGATGCACAGTAGAAATATCGTGGGAAACCGGGATAATTTGATCTCGCCTTGAGGGTAAGATATCTTCTGTCCGCACAGTACAAAAGTTTTCAAATTACAAATTTGTCCCTTAAAGTAAAAATCATTGACCAAATTAACCTCCCTTAATGTAAAAATTACTTCTTCTACCATTTACCTTACACCTTCACAAATGCAGTCCATAGAGCTTTCTCCCTCATCGACAAGGGTAATAGCGTCGCCATCAACGCCATCACCGGCACCCTGCTCGCGAGATCTCCGTTGAGGGAAAAAGCCTCAGATTCTCAGCTTCAGCCTCAAAAGCAACCATAGGTCGTTGACGCAAAAGAGACGTTGTTAAGTTGCAGAGCGATTTACAATTCCCAAATTCAGTTTCAGGAAAAGGGCCAGCCCGAAACCGTAGACTATCGCGTGTTCTTCAACGATTAATGCCGGAAATAAGGTAGATGAAATTTCGAGATGGGCTGTTTTGTTACTATCGTCATGGCTTTAATTGGTGTTTGGTAATTGGGAATTTTTTTGGTATTTTCGAATTAATTGAATTTATAAATTTGTGTTCTTGTTTTTTTTAGTTAGTCAGGGATTGGTTAGTTGATTCTAAATATTGTGAAGGTGTAACACCCTGTTGCACCTTCTGATGAAAAACCATCCTCAAAAGCTTCTCAACCATCAACTTCTCCCTCTTAAGAAATAAAGGAGAAACCTACTCCTAAAGTCGAAACACTCCTGTTGTAGACAAGCCAAAAGGAACCCCTCCCTCTCCTCCCCCGAAAACGCCAGCCACAGAACCCCAATTACCCCCTAAAGATAGGGAAAGACGAGTGAGTATTAGTTTAAATTCTGACTCTTTAGTTATTATTACCAGTGATATTTGTAACATCAGAACATGCTTCTATATTGTCAGGTTCCTATGACAAGGCTTAGGAAAAGAGTTTCCACACGTTTAAAGGATTCTTAGAACACCTTTGCATTGCTGACAACATTTAATGAAGTTGAAATGTAAGTTTATTTCTGAATCGTTGTTTTGTGTTGCTTTAAAGGGTGATGTATTTGTGCAATAGGCTTCAGGTAATTGAGTAATTATATCGACTGAAAATTAAATAGAAAAATATTTTTCTGGACTGTCGTTGGGGTGCTGCTGCCAATGGTTCAATAAAGATGCTTCTTTCCTTGCCTGATATATTGGGTCCACCAGGAGTTTGATGTTATTTATTAGATTATTGCATTGCTTTCCGAGTGTGTATTTGATTAGTGAGCTTCTATTTGTGGAAGAGTTATTTGCTCTAATTTTGCAGCACAATTAGATGCCCAAAGTCTGCCCGCCCGCCTCTCTTTTCCGGTTTCCTTAGGGCTTTGTTTGTGTGAAGGCATTTGAATGTTGATTACCATTTAAAAAACAAAGTATTTTCATCTTATAATTCTCTGTGTATCAAAATTTTTAACGGCTACAATTTCTTATTGCAGGACTAATTTAATGAAACTCCCCTCTGATTACAAGGACTCGTTTGTTGAAAAGCATGGAGTGAAGCTGAGACTAATGTCTGGATTTGTTAAAGTATTCCGGAACACCTTTATCCCTCTGTTTATTCCTCACACACTTCTTGTTAACTGGACTTGTTCTCTTTGATTCTCAGGCGGCCATTAGCACTCTACAGAAGCAGCCAATATTGAATGTTGTTATTGAGTGCATTTTTTGTGAATGCTGTTCTTGGTTTTTTTAGTTAGTCAGGGGTTGGTTAGTTGATTCTGAATATTGTTGTGGTTAATGATTTAGGAATGGTATTCAATGCATTTTTTTGGGTTAATGTATTGAGTGATTTGAGATTTTTCTTTTCCAAGTACTACCAGGTGCATGTAGCACTTATGTGAAGAAAAAACAAATCATCATTTTGGTGTGGCATTTCTATTATGAAATGTGAAATTTCCGGGTTAGTCGAGGCTAGACATTCTTAAAGGCAGTGTGAAATGAAGAACACATGTTTAAGATGTTAGTTGACAACAATATTACGGTTGCAATGATTTATAAATGAGTATCATTTTTGTTTATGTAATGATGAATGTGTACTTATCACCTAATGCTGAGTATTGTCGATGATTGGTGTGCAAATTTTCCCATGGCATTGTCGTTGATTCCTGCCGGCGAACTTTCTCTCGTTTGAATACATTCCATAAGATTTTATTAGTTGAGATTTCGCCAAAAAAAAGTCCATTGAATATGTGTATCAATTTAGCATGCAATTCTACTCTGAAATATTTTGATTGTTTCCATTTTTTGAGAATGATGAGATCTTCCTATTTTTATTGTCTTTTGTGTTGCTGGCAGCTTATGAACTTTATAATCGCAGCATATTAATTCCATAATTTTCAAAATTTGCAATTCTATCATTATTTTTTTAGCAGTTGAATACATCATCATTTTACATTTAAAATTAAAACATTGAAAAAAAAAAAGAAAAAAATAAGGACGAACCTGTTAGCTGTAAGAATGTGCCATGCAAAAAGAAAAAAAAAATTGAGATCTGATACATGAGGCCAACAAGGAAGATAGGAAAAAAATAATGTAGTTTAATATAGGGGCAAATTTGTAAATGTCCATCTTATCCTATTCACTATCTAGGAAAACAAACACATAAAATAAATTGTGGCGATAATCTTATCTTGAGTAAATCAAACATAACAAACATTAGTTCACACTAATCTCTACACCCCAATCTTGAATCCCTAGATAAAAAGTATCTAATCCCGTCTCCATTAACAAACATGCTCTTATAGAACTGCATAAATAATTTAATAGTATTGTTAGTTAATTGATAATTCGCCTAAAAAACTTGGTCTTCTCCTTCTGTTACCATCCATCCATACCGAAAAGGGATAAGGAAAAAAAGAAATAAAAAATCAAATATAACTTGTCGAAGGTTGGGTCATATGGTGGTTCACCTGAGAAATGGTCGCCTATGGTGGTTCACTAAAGAATTGGTCGCCTATGGTGGTTTGTCGGAGAAAGGGTCCATTGTGGCAGCCAGGCTATTGTCCGCCACGCCATTGCTGCTATTTGACAACACTGGTCTCAATGTCAATCTAATAGTTGACCAAATGAAGACCAACCATTAGACTCTTACAAAGAAGCTCCATCATCCTTCCCTGCATATTTGGTCCCTATAATTAAAATAACCAACACACAATGACCACTGAAATAATAAATACCAAAAACAACCACAATAAGATATCCAAACTATAAATGCGGCTATGAAATATAGAGAATGCATTTTACATATCATACAATTTATCATACTATATTGTGCGATTCATAAACAAAATAACCATCCTACAAAGGATAAGATCATGATCGATCAAGGATAAGATTATGACCATGCAAAAAAATGATTGAAGCAATCACAACCGCACTTTTTAAAGAAAAAAAAAGGGCAGAAGCACAAACTTACTCAACTCAGTTTTCCATTTCCTTCTGCATTTTTTCTAGTAAAACTCAGTAAACATCACTTAGGGTAATTTCTAAACATATATAAACATATATCCAGAATGCAATTCAACAACTTTCAAGGTAGTCCTTCCTTGAGTTTACTTTGAGCACAGTGTTTGCTGACACGACCTAAAAGTCCCAAAATGTTGATGAGAAAGAAATTCTGAAAAGTCAAGAATTTCAAATGTATAGTGATAGTTACCGATTTATGTGATTCAACCAGTCCCAAAAAGAATAATCCACAATTCAGTCTAAAAACCATAACCTTTACGGTAAAAACAACAGTAAAGGCAATCCCTAACTCAAAAAGGACGATAATTATCTGAGGTAAGTAACTCATGATTTCTTTAACATGTTTTGTTCTTGAAGTTTTATCTGGTTTTGGCAGAATGTATTCATCTTGTTATCAGACACTCCATCAAATGTTAAGATGAATGTACGTCACTTTCTCTTCACCCCACCAACCACAGTTATCTTATTCGAAACATTAAAATTAATCATACCTCCTCAAGAACTAGAGTCAAACGAAGATGCGAGTAACTCTTAGTGGCTTTGCATGAAGCAATGTATTCAGCTTCAGATCCCGACTCTGCGGTAGATGTAGCACTACCTTTTAACTGTGTTAGAATTTTTAAAAATAAAAAATAAAAAGGACAAGAAAAATCACAACCTCATATCAGTTCAGACATATTAAGACTGCTATTCCTTAAGAAAGTTAAATTTTGACTAAAAGAAAGAACCTATATCATGAATACTGATGCTTTGCATATAGTACATTCCTCTCTCTATTGAGGATCTTAACAACCTGCCTTGCACTGCGGGTTCACCACTAAGCACCATCTGCACATATAAGTTTATGAGTCAACTACTTAAATTTTTGAAGGAAAAAAAAAAAGTTATGTTACACTAAATACAACTAATTGAATAATAAGTTTAGATTATGAACTTCAATATTTCCGGATTCTTCAAAGGTCCTTTACCAGAAAGAGATGGCCCCCTTGGTCTTAACAAGTGAACATTCCACCTAATAATTTTGTCAACTGGCTGCAAAAATCAACAGACAAGTAATCGACAATGATCGTTCAAAATAGGAAATTCAGTGTTACTTGTTATCTAAAGACAATAAATGTGACGTTCAATCCTTTCGCCTGACATAAATGATATCAAGCAACTTGTTCTGGTATTTATTTCCAATAACCTGTGACAGGTTACAAAAATATACAAAATGGAGCAGTCGAGAAAGTACACTAGAACTTTTCCAAAAACAATTGTGACGTCTTATGGGGTTTTAATACATGAATCTTAGTGGTTTTTGGGTCTATAAAATTCTTCCCGGTATTCCACAGTAGCCCGAAACCTGGACCAGCATTAACGATAAACATTGGATGGAGTGTCTGCAAACCAAAAGGCAACGAGATGAATATATTCTGCCAAAACCAAATAAAACTTCAACAAGAGCATGTTAAAAAGTTGATTACCTCAGGATAATTATGGCCATCAATCTGCAGTAATCTATAAAGTGTCAATTACTTGAGATCCATCCAGCTTTTTTCTGAGAAGCAATAGTAATTGACATCAGCCGAGCCCCAAGAGAAAAGTGTCTGCAAAATCCCACAAAAACATGATTAATCGGATTATTCCAAAAAACAAAAGAGGGGAAAAGAATTAGAGCTAAGATCTTGTCCTACATCGACTTGTCTCTGCACATTTATAGTTCTCCTCTAGGGCCTCTTCGTCGGCCGCGATTTTCTCGTTAATTCTCGGTGGCTCTTTCTGTGGGGTTCCATTTAGAATCTCAAAAACATACTTCTTGTAGTTATTCCAAAAAATATAAAATTCAGAAAGTAAAAATATCATGTACGAACCTCACTCATGATTTAACAAAGCAATCCTGTATTAAGAAAATTCTACCTAAAAAATCTTCCTTCAACAAAAATACAAATTGATTTATGCGTACAAACACATATAGATAAGAACTGTTTAGATTTTCGAAAAACCTCAACCAAGCTTGAATATCTCCTGCGCCAAATGCGACCTGTAAATTCAGTACAAAATTTTGATTAGGGTTTTCTTCAATCTCAAGATCCCGGCGTCGTTGGGTTCTTTCCGCTTTCGATTCCAGCTCAAAACCTTTGAATCCTTTAAGTGAGACCACTGGTGCTCGACTATACTGGCTTTACCCTTGTTGTAGGCCGAATTGGGTCGTGCCTCCGAAGCTGTAGCAAATCCCATTAACAGATGGGGGTGTTATGTACAGGGAAACTAGAAAGCAATCTGTCAACACTTGACCACCTGCCATGCGGACTTTTTCATGCTCTTCGTTTGGAGTGGCCAATTTTTTTCTACGGAGGTCGGAGTGGCAGAGGCGGCGCGAGTTAGGGTGAAGGGAGACATGAAGCAATGGTGATAGTTAGGAGAGAGATGAAAATTGACGATTGATGTTTGTTGGGCTAGCGATAGTTGGGAAACAGAGGACGTTGCGTAAGAATTAAGTTGGTAAAAAACAGTGTTGTTTTGATAGACTGAATATTAAAAAAAAATAGGGGCGTTTTGGTAAATAAAAAAAGTGACACATGTCAAGCTCTCAATTCTTCATACTTTCTCTTATATGTAAGAGGGAGATATTTAGCAAGCTAGACTTGTATTTAACTTTCTTTTTTTCGTCTATGTATGTATTTTTTTTGTTNCAAAGAATTTTATAACTAAAAACATAAAAGGAGATACAGAGATGATAGTCCACGGCTAGACAAACAACTACACAAATAAAACAGCTGCAACCTGCAGAATCAAGAAAAAAACAAAAGAAACTGGAGAGCCTACAGAGTTGGTCTAGGAGAGGGAGGAGGGACTTACAACCGGTCTATAGGGCAGTATAGAATACTGAGGCCCTGAGACATGCTGTCAGACTAAACAATTAGATCTAAAAACTGAACAAGACCTTGCTAGCTAACAAATAAGCTAAAAAATAAATAGAAGAAAATTCTAGCAATCAAAGCAGGCAATATCAACCAAAGCTTTCTCTGCAATCCAATGTTTATTGAATACCCAAATATTTCTCGCTTTCCATAACCACCAGAGGATGTATGTGGTTAGTTGAATTCGATCTTCAGCGGCCTTGTTTTTGTGGATGAAACAGACTTCCTTCCACCATTCTTTGAAGCTGGTAATTTCTTCTTCCAGACCAAACCAAGTGACAGGTGCCAGCTTCCAGATTTTCTTGCCACTTATGCAGTTGAAGAGAATATGTTCATCATCAAACCTCTAGTATGGAGCTTCTTTGGAGATAATGTTCAATCCTCCCGCTGTTCGAGCGGAATACATGAATACAAAATAAGAGTTTATAAACACCTCCTCCAGCTCCAACTGTATTACAAGCTATATGATTTATGATTAGTTTATTAGTAATAACATTTAAGTCTAATACTATATTGGTAATAACACTTTATTGGTGGTTCTCACTCCATCTATCTTGTTGTTCTGTCTGGTATTCTGAGTCTGGTAACAAGCCATAATTCATGACATAGTTGCATGCCCTCTCGAAAGTGTCCGTATCCATACTCGGATTAGGATAGCAACAATGTAGACTTGTTATCAAATCCTGGGCAGATGGAACAAGACATATTGGTTATTATACACTTCTCCCCGTACAACCCTAGGCACCAAAGCCCAACAAATCTCTTGACAAAATAAAGAAAAAGAAAAGTAAACAATATTAAAATAAGGATTAATGATAATAGATAATAGTACATATGCCTTTTATTTTGGTTGACCTATTATAATTAAAATAACAAATTAATATAGCCACAACAATCGCGAAGCTCTTACTCATATAGAGTCACCATCTAATTTTTGTTTCTAGAAAAAAGCTCTTGTCCATCTCCCTGATTAGAAACTAATTTTATTTATTCGGAATTGAAAGTGGGCTATGAGATTTTTTTTATTTTTTTTTCGAAACGATAACAACCAAATATATTTCATCAAACAAAGGTTTACACAGCCGATCACTCAACTGAGTGAGTCCAGAACCACACAATCTATAAAGGATGCATAGAATCAAGATAGGGGAAATCATCCCATTTTCCCTTGTAAAGCCATGTAGGCTAACCGAGTACAAGATACACAGAGTTCGTCACCACAAACAAAAGTACAACAAGCTAACATAGAAGATAACAAATTAATATCAACAACAAAGTCGGAGAGTTGAGCTGTGTCTGCTGCTCTGGATAAGATAACCTGCAACTTGTTGCGGTCTTGAACACATCATATGAAATCTTTAAGTCCATGCATCAAAGCCAATTCCAGTCGCCATCTAAGTGCTATCAGCTCTATTTCATCTTCAGTAACAGATTTATCTTCCAACTGCATCCATGTTTTAAGAAGTGTAGAATCAACAGACACCATGCACCCCAGTCCAACTTTGCCTTCTGGGCTCCTATGAGCACTGACAGCTAAATATAGCTGTCCTAACCTGGCCGTGAACTTACAAACATGATTAAGAGAGGAAGGAAGTACATTCTGCTCAAGATGATGTTCTCTGTTCAAATCCCCTGAAAACTCCTTCCATCCTAGCTGTGCTTTCTCAATAATCTTCCTCTCAGATATCCAAACTTTGTTAAACACCCATGCATTCCTTGCTTTCCAAATTTCCCATAAAATGAAAGCTGATAATCTCAGCCAGTTATGCATGCACTGTTTATTTGGATCACCACATATTGTAAACCACCAACTTTTGAAAGTTGTTGTGGGATCTTAAAAGTGTAACCATTTTAGACTGCTTAGTTTCCAGCAAATGGCTGCTTTTGCACATTTGATAAGGACATGGCACATATCCTCCTCTTCCATACCACAACACTCACAAATTCCATCCAGCTTCATTCCCTTCTTTAGAAATTGTTTCTTCACTCCCAAAAAGTTCCAACAGCATATCCAAAGAAAGAGTTTTATTTTGCTCAATATAGGGAGTTTCCACAAAGTTTTCCAGCTCCTTTCCATTTCACCTGTCCTGTTGCTGGTACTGACAGCTTGCTGGTTTTTGAATTGTTTGTGTTGAGAGATGAGACAGTAGGCATCCTTGACTAAAAACATGTCCTTCTTATTGCCATCCCAAATGAGTTTATCCTTAGTGCCCCTTCTTCGTATGGGAATAGCCAAGATTAAACCTGCATCATATGGATTAAAAGTTTGCAATATGCAGTCCCTGTCCCACCCCATATTGTCAGCTAGCATCAAATCACTCACCTTTATCAATCTATTCCTGTCACTCTGGAAGTCACAAGTAGGTTTGAAACCAACCTTGTGAGGTATCCAGGGAAAATCCCGTACCCCTATAGACTGCCCATCACCCACTTCAAACCTAACCCCCAGCTCAAGATATTCCCTAACCCCCAACCAACTCCTCCAAAGCCATGAATCTGCTCCCTTAGGAATAATGTCACTGAGCATCTCCCCCAAAAATATTTACCCCTCAAACCTCTGCTCATCAACAAATTAGGATTAGTAAGAACTCTCCAAAATTGTTTGACTAGCAGAGATTCATTGAAAGAGGTAAGTTCCTAAACCCAGTCCCCCTTCCTTCTTAGGTTTACTCAAAATTTCCCAACTTGCCCAATGAAATCTCTCCCTCCCTAACATTATTCCTACCCCACCAGAATTGAGCAATCAGCCTGCTCAGAGTATTTAGTACAGATATGGGAACCTTGAAACATGACATGACAAAAGTAGGTATTGCACTCAAAACTGATTTGATAAGGACCTCTTTTCTAGCTTCACTCAAAAAATTGTTTTTCCAAGTCTCCAGTTTTTTCCTCACACTCTCAATCAAAAAATTGAACACTTCTCTTTTTGTCTTTCCAATCCCCAGAGGGAGACCTAAATATCTGGTGGAGGACACTTTGGTAATACCATTAAGGATGGAACAGATTTCCACCTGCTTGTGTAAAGAAGTGTTTTGGAAAAGAATATTGAGGATTTATCAAGATTAACCATCTGACCAGAATCATTGCCATATTGACTCAGAATATCAAGAACTAAAGATTCATTGGACCCTAAACTGCCTGCTCTTAGCCAATCTCTGAATTGCCCCAAGTTAATTACATTTTTGGAAATATCTTCTTGTTTAAAAGAACAATGCCGGTTTAAGTGACCTATTCTTCCACAGTAAAAGCAAAATTTTGAAGCTTTTCATACCTGAATTCCACCCATTGGTTATGAGCGCCTTGTGTAACACCCCACTTTGATTTTTAAGAAATTTCGGACTTTCCAAAAATTCAGTAAAACATTTTCGAAATCATGGACATTATTCACAACATTTAAATAGTCCAAGTCTTATATGGACCCAAATGGGATTAATAAACCCGGTTTTGATCTATGGTTTTCATTAACCGATTTCACAACATATCTCACATGTTATTCAGCTCAAACATAACAGCATGAATAACTAAAGTAACATGATATCCAAATAAACACACACTTATGAATATCCAAATAGAGGGGTTTCAAACAAACCAAATCCAACATTTTCAAAGTAAAATTTGAAATCAACCAACATGTCAAGTAATCTCAAACATAAGGTTCATAAAGAGCGGAAGCTATAATAACAGTAAATGACCACCCACTCGTCTTGCCTCGTCATCCGTCACCTGCTTAACCTGCATCCGTGAAGAGCAGGTGGTAGTGAGCACAATTGAAAAATGTAGTGCTCACCACTATGCACATAATATATTATAATAAAATGGTATGGTCGCAGTATGAATATAAATCAATCATCATCATGTCTCATCTCATGTCAATACAACAATGACTCACTCATGTGCACATCTATCATTACCGCAGAAAGGGGATGCATAAACCCTTACGACGGGAGTGCGTGCCACGCAACGGACACGACCTTTCATTAGGACTTAAAGAGACTTGCCTCGCAAGGGCAACCGTATTACATCGATGGGGACAACCGTATCGACGACCGTAACAGCTCACATCAGTAGGCCGCATGGTTCACATACATACATTAATCATACCAACGAAAACGCTTAAACACATATGGCATAGAGAATTTTTAGAATAACAAACCCACCTAATAGACAAGGTAGTCAAATACACAATAATCAGCAGAAAGTAGGCAGAGGGTTCGACTCCTCGTTAATCTACAGTTAATAATATTTATCTTATTAATAAGGGCGGACAGGCAAAACAAGAAAAGGCATTAAGTATATAAGGCAGATAAAAAAAAACAC